TGAGAGAGTCTTTGCTTTCGGCTTTTTTGATTGGACAGCGCATGAATAGGGAGACGGATCGTGAGCTGAAAGCCTATTGCCTTGCATTTGATGATGAACTTGGTAATCTTTTTCAGTTGCTTGTTTTTGGTATTTATTAACTCTCTCTGGGATTTCTATGGCTGCTATTGGATATATATAATCTGATAAAAAAGAATTTGGATGGAGAGCGAAGAACCTTTGGAAATGTGTGAAGGGGTATGAGATCAATGATGTAATGATATGATTAAGGGAGTGTTTGTATTCAAATAATTCAAATATATCTGCTCAAAATGAGTTTTTTGTTTTTATTAACCATGAAATAAGTGGTATGGTTAGTTTTTAGTGGAATTTTAATTTTATATTAAAATATAAAATAATCAAAGTTGATTTGATGTAAAAGTACGAGAAAGATAATTTGTAGTGATAACTAGTTAAAATTATGTGAGTTGATGAATAGTAAATTAAAGTTGATGTGATGTAATAATGAATGGTTGATATTATTTATTTATATTGATAATATTGAAGATAGTGAAGTTCAGTTAAAGTTGAGTTAGATTTTAAGTATGAATTGAGTTTTTTGATATACAAACACACCCTAAACATTGATGTGGTATGAAAATAACAACACAAAGATTGATAGGGTAGTTATGTAGCAATGATTGGTTCTTTTCTAAAGCATTATGTGGATGTGATTGATATAGTGAAACAATGAGAATTGATGGATATCAATGGAATAGAAATTGAAATTTTGTATATCCAAATTACTGCCCAATTTTTCTTGAATATTATTTTTCTCTTTCAGGTCCAGCGCCTGTTGCTGATATTAGATCTTTGACCCATTACGGAGAGCCTTATGATGGTAATACACGCTATTTTAAGAGCACACTTTTTGTTGCTGCTGTTAGATCATGCTATGGTGAATCTTGCTTGCTTCACGGTGTGGATTGGATGCCGCCCAAGGTTGTACTTACTTCTATTTTCTTTCGTTTTCCTTTGTCTTATTGATAAAACAATTTGATATCATCCAACCATCTAATTTATGATGATTCTATTTGATATAATTTGATATGCTTAGACGACATGTGTAGATCTCTTATTTAGCAACTGAATTTACAGGGAGGCATTACAGAAGAGCAAATGCTGAAGTTTATGGGTGCGAACACGAGATTAACACCAATGCAGGCTAAAAGGCTTCTTGAGGTCTTTCTTCTCCTATCCTCTTATATAATTGTGTGCTTTTTTGAGCAGGTATGCTTTAGGATATAATGTCCAAGTTTTATGTTTATGACCTTTTTTTTTTCTTTTTCAGGACGAAGATGTTGGTTTTGCTTACATAAGTCAACGCGAAGTCCAACCATCTCTGTATGACAATCTTTCTCCTTTCCCGGCACTTGTAGAAATATCGTGCTAGAGTCTCAGTAACAAAAACAAATTGAAGTATCTTTCAAAAATACATTATAGAATAGTCGGTCCTCTTTTTTTTTTTAAATTTAAATGCAAAAACACAGTATGCAAAAATTTACAATGTATTTACAGCGCTTTTGGGGCTAATTTGATACGAGAGCTTCTTATGCACAATCTGTTCTGCCATTATTGTTTTTAACCTTGATCTGTTTGGCATATGTGATCGTCAAATTTTAAATCCTTAAATTTCTTGACAAAGATTTCAAAACCTGGATTTTAACTGTAATGATGCTTTATTAGTTGTTGCTGTGTGTGTATGTTATAATGTTCGCTGGGAAATGCGAACTTCGGCATGTTATAAAATCATGAGTGTTCGAAATGGAAGTGAACTGTGTTGGTTCATGTGAATCACATTTTTACCAGACACTCTTTGATTGGGTTGAGGGAACATATAAAGAAACGTCCACCGATTGCCACAACCGAAAAAGTTCAACGGTTTGTACGGGTAAAAAAGTGTTTAATGATAATGTTGATGTATTATCTATTATCACTTAGCATGAGTATGAATTTTTCCTTTCGTTACTTAGTGAATTTTGCTAATTACTCCATAGGCTAAGGGTAAAGAAGCTTTTGTTGCCGGATTTTATCATGAAGGTTATGAGGAGTCACTTCTGATGCTAATGAGACGAAGAGGTGTCCACTCGGGCTTGGTGGTCAAAGTACTATAATTCACAAGGCATTTTTAAGTGGAAACTTTTTCATTCTTTTTCTTTTTAATCATTCCTTAGTTTACGAGATGATTAATCAGGACCCAGATTTTATAAATTGATTTTGCGAACTTCAGGGTGAGGAAGGTGCTCTTTCAATGACTACAAGATTGAGATCACCAAATGCATCAAAGGGCTTACCAGTTAATTACTGTTCGGGTTTTCGCTCGTTGAATGTGACACCTTATACAGCAGCTGATGGTGTGTGTTTTTTCCTTTTCTAATCCTACTCAGTCTCGAAGAATATGGTTTTAATTCTAATTCTAATTTTCGGGTTATGGTTTTAATTCTTATTTATAGGCGTCTCACGTGAGAGTTTCAATCTTGTCGTGAATGCGAGTGATTACGGCTTTGAACCATCTGATACTCCAAGAACAGATAGATCTGTAAGTCTTCAAATCCTTTCCTTTTTTTTCATTTTTCTTTTTTCTTCTCTCTCGTCAACTCACGGATTGAACTGATTGGGAGGAAAATGTATCGAGTCATCCAAATTAGGAATGAAAAATGAAACTAGCCGACTCGGTCACACCTCAAGAAGTATATTATGACCTTGACGTTCTAAATCTTGTTTTTTTTTTATCGGTTGTTTAGTGTTATTAACTAATAGTTTTGAACTTTGTATCAAATGTTAATTTTGTTTTTTTCCCTGAAAAGTCGAGGCTTACGCCTAGAGAGACATACGCCTCGACTAGTCAAGCAAAATGTCTCTAATACGCGCCTCGAATTTTAAAACATTGGAACAAATGGTGTTAATCATGGGTCATTCTTGAAAATCTGTCATTGCAACTACTCGTATTCGATTGTGTCCATAGGACTTTCCAGCCTTTCATTCCTTTTCAATTGTCTGCTAATGCTAATTTAGTATTTTTTTTTTATTTTTTTTGTTTTGGGTATTACGTCAGATAACAAAGAATATAGAGTTGGGTTTATCAGCATTACGTGGGGAGAAAGGTCCTGTGTACGATCGGATTGTGTTGAATGCTGGGATAGTCGATCACCTGCTCGGATGTGAAGGTGCAGAAGATATATGTGCAGCCATGGAAAGAGCTAGAGAAGCTATTGATAGTGGTAGGGCACTTAACAGGCTTTTGAGTTACATAAAGAAGTCTAACAGAATCACATGAATAAGTGCTAGTCTTTATTAAATTTCTTGTTACAAGTTAAATTTTGTTAGTTTTTTTTTTTAACAGTTTGATAAAGAGGAATGGGAGAAAAATGTTGTGGCAGCTGTTGAGGTTCTGTTGTATTTTGTGTCAAAATTGAGTGAGATGCTGCTATTGTTCTATAGAAATTGACTGT